TAAATGACAGAGCCAGGACCAGAAATCACGATTTTTGACTCCCTGTCAGTCTTTCCACTATAACTACTGCCTCCAATTATGAATAATGTACTGTGTATCAAAATCAAAAGGTTATTGAAGTTCATTTCAGTGATGTCATAAGAGTAAAGTTAAACGAGAAATACAAGAACAGTAGGTCTGATGGTTTTACTTGATGTAATAAAACTGGTGCAAAACCACTTTTGTCTAATTACGTGTAATCTTTTGGTCCAAATACATAAAATATGCAATATTTACAGCATTTTCCTTTTTTTTTTTTTGTAAATGCAATGCTTTAAAACACATTATAAAGCACCTTAGTAAAAATAGTCTACAGGTAAAAGTACAGAAGTAGGAAAATCCTACCCATACCACAGCTCACTAATGGAGTCATAATATGGAGTCACTGATATCTCAGTTTACAGCTTTACAAATAACCCATGGAGAAACAAATACTAAACTTACTTTTTTTGATATTAATGTGTGGGAGTCTTAACTAGAACCTCAGACAATCTCAACATTCTTTGAAGTATCTTCCCAATATTAGATATTGGGGAGAAAGGAATGAGAAATACTTAGACTCTTTATCTTTTTTTTTTTTTTAACACTAACGATCATTTTTAAAAAATTAAAACCACCTACATAAATATGGGCAACCCAACTACAGCAGAAGTTTTTTTTAGCAAACATGATCAAACATTCCAATAAAGTTCATGAGACATGACTCACAAAAACAAAGCACATACTGCTAAACAGCTGTTAACACTATTCAGTAGAGGAGTATAACCCATATCTTCAGTAAAGGCTGAAGTGGCAAATGGATTTATCTTCATTTATGGTTAGTTGAAAAAATGCTTTATCAAAAACAAGAGTATCAGAACCTTTTCTGAAATTGTACTTAGCCTTTTGATTAGACCTGCCACGTGTTTATTGTAGGTGATGTATAGGTTTTTTCCCCAGGTAGAAGGTTATTACTCTCACCAAATTTAACCAGAAAAAAGAAAGATGCCTGAAACTTAAACTTCCTAGAACACTGACATAACAGCCAGTATCTACTTCCTTGACATTACTGTCTGTGTCCTAACTTGGCTCAAATACAATTGTCTTATACACCTATCAGCGACCCAGGCTCTGGAGCTGACAAGGAAGGTGAAGACAGGGTCAAAGGTTTAGTTCAAGAATCTAACTGTCATATCTTGTACTCAGTTCGATTTAGGATAAATCTTTTCATAGAAAAAGTTTTGTGCGAGGATGTAGAGGTCTCCATCTTTTTCTCGAACAGCATGCGCTCTGATGAATTGGAACTGCTCTAGTGCAAATTCATAGAACTCATTCTCCATTTTCCAAATGTCAGACTGCTGTAGTTTTGCAATGGTTTGTTTAGTGGGGAGTTTCTTCTCTGTGGTTTTCCTAAGATGAGATTTCTTTCCTACTTACAAAGGAAAAAAAGAAAAGGTAAATAATTCTTGGAGAACACACGAAAGACCAATGCCTCTTTATGTGAAGAGATGGTTTAAGTTAATACAACACCCTGAAGGACAGGTAACATAATTGTCTTCTATTAATACAATTCTGGCAAAAACAGAACCCTAATCATACTAGAACTGTGATTTATTCCTTTATAATGTAAATCCATAACCTGTTATTCATTTAATGAGATGTTAAATAGTAAATGTAAGGACTGCCATGAAGTAAAGTGTAGTAAAGTGTAGGCTGATTCCCTCCCACAGTATATTCTCAAGTGCCTGGTGCTCTAAGACTAGTTTATTTTAATTACTTTATTTGGGGCGGGGGATCCAAACTCTTATCAGCACCATGCTCTCCCAAGTGAGCCACCGGCCAGCCCTAAAGAGTAGTTTATTTTTTAAATAGAATAAAACACCTATTGTGAAATGTAATTCTAATTTCTCATAATCTATATTATCTATATGTTACAAGCCAGGGCATATGCATACTCTAGGAAAAGAGTTCCTATGATTGTATCTTATCAAACAAAAACAACAAAACAATCAGAATTAGATTGGACCAGCATGGTCACTTTCAGATATGTAATACTGTGAAGGCACACTTTAAAGCATAATATAAGAGACATAGCACATAATGATTGTTATCAGTGTGATTCAGTCCCACCATACCACCCCTACTTTAAAATGGCAGTAGGCAGGTTTATGAGTGGAATATACAGTCCTAATGATTGGTATCCAGCATTACTGAATATTACACATTTCTAAGATTTCTTCTATAGTTTGTATAATTGCACTATTCCTACAATGCCTTCTAATTCTTATCAAATGCATGTTAATTCATTCAAAAAATATTTAATGAACACTATCTCTATGCCAGGCACTGCTTTGCATTGAAAATAGTGAGCAGAAACAGACAAGATACCTGCCTTTCTGGAGCTATTTGTTGTGTTTTACTGAAGAAACTTCAAATCATATATTCTTCAAGTTGCAAATAGAAAAAGTTAAGGCAAGCTTTAAAAAAAAAACCCTTCATTTATATACCTGTACGATAGAGTTCTGTAGCACCCCTGAAAAACCGGGGCAAAGCTGCCTCCAACAACATGATAAAATCTTCAAGCTCTTCAGTAACTCCCACCAGAAAGTATTCATTAATTAGGTTATACTTGGCTTGATCCATAGCCCACCGGCTTCCCACATTCCTGAAACCAAAGAAAAAGAATTAAAAATCTGGTTGTGAAATCTGCTAGGTATTTTTGATGCCTTTGACACTGTGTATTATGGAGAAAATAGTCACATGTACATCCAAAGCCTTAATGCCCTTTTATTAATGTCCTTTGGGAGGCACACCTGTTTTTAATTTCCTTTGCTTCCATCTCCAATTTCTGCTCAACTATGCAGTACTAATTTGGACTTTACTAGAGGACTCTTAATATAAACAGTTTAGTTTGAAGGCAGTTAAAAAATGTATATATAACATATATTCCTCCCATCTGATTTAGTGTGAGTGCATTTAATTTTTTTAAACTACTCTAAACTTTGTTCATTTTAAGAGCTTTCTATTTCTAGTAAGGTCTAAGCAATTTGTGTTTAGTGCTTATATTAATCTGTGAGGTTAGGTGTTTTTTGTGCGTGAGCTTAGTATTTTCTGAAATTTCTGTGGAACAGAAAATAGGTAAGAAATGGTTCTGCTAAGAATCTTTTATTTTTATTTTTGTTTACACTATCAGCTAATGCTGTTAATAGAAATTTGGCCCTAAATCAACTATACTTTTGTATCCTTTTTAGCTCTAACATTTCTTACTCCTAAGTCCAGCTCTATCTTTAAGTAGCTATGTGATCTTGAGCTGGTGGCTTTACCTTTCTAAATTTTGATTTCTCTGCTATTTAAAGGGGGGGGGCAGAAAGAGAGTTAATTAGTTGATTTCTAAGGCCTCTCTCCCAATTCTGTGAGTCTATGAAACATACTAAAGAAGTTCAATTAAAATCTCCTCAATAATGCCCAATAGACCAACACTCTATTGTTCTAGGGTTCTAAAGCAGGAATTGGCAACTTTTTCTATAGAGGGCCAGAGAGTAAATAGTTTAGGCTTTGCAGACTATATGGTTTAGGTCACAATTACTCATCTCTGCTGTTGTAGCATGAAAACATCCATAGACAATAAGCAAACAAATGCATGTGGCTGTGCTCCAATAAAAGTTTATCTATAAAAACAGGTGATGGGCCAAGTTTGGTGCAGGCTGTAGTTTGCCAACCCCTGTTCTAAGACAACGGTTGAAAACTGAGAAGACATTCTTCCTATGCTTCCCATTCTTCTTGTGCTAGTATGATGCTCTGATACAATCTATTAAGTAAGACATTAAGTTTCACAGTAATCTAATAATATATCTCAAAGAATGAAGAAATTCCTTGCATTTCTCATTACAATTTTAAGGAAGAAACTAACTTTGAATGAGTTCCTGTTTTGTTTTGTTTTTTTCCTACTTTTCCTATTAAAAACAAATAAGAACAAATAAATATGCACAATTATTTTTAAGAACTGAAAACACAGCACATTCTGAGAAAATGAATTCCTTATTAAAGATAAAGTATCTATTTTCCACCTCATGTTTATTAGCAGATTAAAGCACAACCATAAGCATGGCTTCTCTTAAAGTCAAAATGAGTTTAACACTAAAATCAGGTGAACAATTTACCCACTAAGCTTTTCCTCACTCTAACATGAATAGCTAAAACAGCAAGCTTAGGACAAAATAAGGTTTATGAAATGACCCCTGATCTCTAATTAAGAGGTCTGTTGGAACAGAGAAAAAGATAATACCAAAAACAAACAAAAAATCTAAAAACTAGCATCTGCAAAAACATTGTGAAGATATTATATATGAGAAATCTTTTAAATGCATTTAAAGGTAACCACAAAACTAGATATTACTTAATTACATGTTATTTATAGTCTTATCTTCCATTGATTTCCCTATACCAAGCCTTTGTGAAATTCAGGTTACAGAGATAATAAGGAAGATAATCAACTTAAGCTAACTTTATCTCCCTACCAGCATTCTGAGCTGTGGCCACAGAAGAAGGGAATTTGAAGCCAGAGCTTCTCTGGTGCACAGTCTGAGCCGCCCTCAGCTACACATTCATCAAAGGTCTGAAACAAAGACACAGAGGTACAGGTAAGTCATAATTCCAAGTCTCAAGTATCAAATATCTTAATGTGGTAAATTATTAAATAAATGGGCAGGAGTGGATGGGATGAAATAGCACGGTGAAAAGGAAAGGCAGGTTACAAACCTGAGAAAAGTTAAACATGAATTTTTCTCACAACTTTGTTGTGAGAAGTCTAATGTTCATAAGAATTCTTTCACTGTATGAATAAAAACTTCCCCAGATAATAATTTGTCCTTGAAAATAAGTACTGATTTATGATGAAGTTATGAATTTATATTTTCTTACCAAAGGAAATTTTCTATTTGAGATGATATAACATAGAAATACCAGAGAACAAACTTTGGAGGTTTGCTTGTGGCAGTGACACATGTGCAAATACCACCTGTTATCTATGCAAAGAGGAAGTATGAAAGAGTGGAAAGAGCACTGGTCCTGAGCCAAGGCTCCCGAGTTTCTAGAACCAGGTTTGACCCTATGTCAAGTAATTTTTTAAGGCCTCCAGGCCTCGCTTTTCTAATCTATACAATTAGATAAACTTAGAAGGCCTTTCAACCAAAAATCTATGAGAATAGGGACCAAAAAAAAAAAAAAAATCCCTAGAGTTAGCTATGGGTGGAGCTACAGTGGAATGATGCCCTGTATTCTGGCAACATTCAAAAGGCAATGGCAAACTGCAGCCCACAATTTATATACCCATTGTTTTTTTTTTTTTTTTAGATGACTTTCACCACAACATAATGAAAAGACCCAGGTTCAGGAGTCAAACTTGGGTTTGACTCCTGAACCTGGGAGACGTAAGTTTTGTGTTAGTTTCCTCACTTAAAAAATAATGGAATAATCTTATTTTGGGGAACTGATAAAATCATGAATGTAAAAGAATCTACCACAAAGACTGGTTCATAGTAGGCATTCAATAAATGGGATGTGCTTATGTTTGTGTCTGTCTTCTTCCTAATAGTCAAATGCAATGTTTTGTTTGTTCTTGTACTTGATCTTCATAGCATTTGGCCCCAAACTCTCTTTTCTGAAAAAAACCTCTTGGTCTCCCTGCCACTAGTGCATTCTTTTCTATTTCATTGAACACTCCCCTTTTTGGTTTCTTTTTCTGGTTCTCTGTATCCTTCTAAATGTACTATCATTACTTCTCTGAAGGCATATTTTGGTCTTTCTACCAAGTATGGCAGTTCATCTCAGCTATCTTCCCTTTGCCCACACCTTTCCTTAGTTCACTTTTTCATACTTTCCTGGCTTAATTTATAATTTCTAAGCAAAAAACTTCCAAATATATACCCACCAGATCTATCACTTCTTATCGATCTTCTAATACCTTCTACTGTGCATCTCAAATTTCCAGTGTTTGATATTCAGTATTTCTGGCAATTAAGATTATATTGCCTCTTGTAACTTAGACTCAAGATCTCAGAACATTTCTTAATCTTTCTTCTCCCTCACCTCACATACTTGAGGTAATGTCTTTCTAATTCATCTTTCCTTTTTCAATCCTTACTTCCATCAGGATCTCAAAGTATCATGTCTTGATTCTTATAACATCTTCCTAATTGGGCTCCTTTCTCATCTTTCCTTCTAATCTGCTCTGTACAGTTACCAGATGAATTTAAATTGTTACTCGTAACATCCTCTGCTCAGAAACCTTCAATGGCTTCCAATACCTTAAAAAAAAAAAATTCCAACCTCTTTATTCTGGTTTTCAGGAATGCTTCATAATCTGACCTCAATGTGCCAGTCTAGCCTTATCTCTACATGTAACTTCCATCTTTACCAGATTAACCTGTTTTGTATTATCTCAAGCATGTCATGTGTACCCAAATCTATATACCTTTGCTGACTACATTTTCTTCCTAAGTGTCTTCCTTCTACAAATCTAGTTTATATAAAGGCTATATTTCTAGTGACTTCTATGGCCTAAAGCCACTCATTTTCTTTCAGGTCATATAAATTAATTACATACTGCCTATAACAGCCAGTTGTTAGGATCTGGATATGTATATATTATCTATACATACATTTTTATCTACATAACTTGCTTCATGTGCTTTTTTTCATGAGTGTTATATTCTGTCTCCCCAACTACAGTGAAAATTTCTTGAAGGGATCATGCAGTATGCATTTGTGTCCTCTACAACACATAGTGCTATACAAACTGTTTGCACAAGTAATATTTGTGCTGGAAAGAATGCACTTTGGGGATTTACATGAGTATTAAAGACATTGTTCTAGTGGAAATGAACACAGATATAGTAAAATTTTTTCTTGAAGCATTTTGACAGTCCTTTAGAGTTTTCCCAAATTCTCTTACTGTATTGTGATTTTTTTACAAGTGAGAACACCTTAGCTTACACTTGAGACTCCATAAACCCCTTTCAATAGCCATTACATTATTTCTGAATTTTTATAGATGGTCTAACTTAGCTTTACTAGCGTAGGCCATTTTCTAAAAAATGGTTTTATTTATTATAATGCCAACTTGTAGCTCATTTAAAATAACAATAACAACAACAACAACAATAATAAAAACCCTTATGTATCTATCTGTACCATGTCCTAATCTCCATGAACTTTTTGGCTCAATGAACTGAGTGAAGGTTTCTGATTACATGTCTATCCAATTTCTAACAGACAGCTCATAGCATGCTGTCTCTGAAACCCAGTAGAGGTGTTCTGCTTCTTTACAGCACTATCTGATTAGATCACAGACAGAAAAGAAATAAATTACTAAAGTGATTGTGGGTGAACTTATCATCTCTACCACCTTTCTACGGTACATGTGATTGTGTGTGTGAGATTCAAAGACATTAAAAAGACTTTGCTTAAATGTAAGAAACTAGGATATTAAAAGAGGCTGCAATAATTGTAAGTTTCCATAGAATTACTATTTAGATAACTTTGGAAATTTAAATGTATACTACAGAATTAAAGCTGAATTAAAAATGAATAAGCATGCAAGATGGCTATTTTAACCCAAATTCTCTAGTCAGCAAACTCCTAGTTCCTGTACTCCTGAAGTATTTTAGTACTGCAAGCAAAGAAAATTTTTTATTAGACAATATAAAAGCAGAAAAGTAGTTTGGGTTTTTCTTCCTTTCTGACTCCTTATTTGGGAGAGGTGTTTCTCCCCTATCAACCAAAAGAACCCAAGGATGGCCATTAGCAGGGAAGGTGTTCAGGAAAAAAATCCTACGAATAATCAAAAATTGGTTGAACATATGAGTGTTCCAGATCTTAGTATATAACAGAAATTCTCCCATTTCTACATAAATATTTGATGAGTAAAGTAAACCAAGTATTTCCTAGTGAAAGAAAACAAATTAAGACAATTCAATACCATCTTTACAACATACAACATTATGGATCAATCCACTGCCTACAACAGTGACAGCAGCACTTGGGCTTCTCTGTTCAGACCACCAAAGAAGATTGTCACTCAAATGCTTGGTAAACGAAATTTTCCTGCTTACTTGCAAAGTTCCATCAGCACTGCAGACTCTTCTCTTCTCCCATGAAACCCAGTTCAGCACACCACAGAAATGAAAAGTTCTTAAGATATGATTAGCTTTCATCTATCCTTAGAGCAATTCTTTGTGAACTAGATAAAAATGATTTTAAAAACCATCAAATATCAAAATATTCTTTAGACCATGTAGATCATTAGTTTAGATAATTAACTCCTAAAATTGAAGGTTAAAAAAAATTAAATATAATTTGATGCTTGATAGTGATGGCAATTTATTTTCATTCAAATCCATTTCTGCAAATGATCTTGCTTCATATTTTGTAGAGAACACTGAAGAGCGAGCTCCCTTGATTTTCTACTTAGATAAAAGCTTATCTGCATCTGTAGCCCCTTATTGCCTCCATCTTTTAAAAAGTATTTCTTCTATCTCTGAATACCATTTGTACTGCCTTCTGAGACCCTGCTCCATCAATTTTTCTCCAGTTTCTTGTATCACTCACCCTCTTGCTCTCTTCTGATTTCATATGCCTAAATGTCTGTCATTTTAAAGAAACATTTACTGATGTTTCTTTTTCCTTTCAAAGCCAGGCTTCTATATTAAGAGTAGTCCTTCCACTCAGTCTCAACGTCTTCACTTCTCAGTTGCTCCTCAACCCTTTGGACTCCACTTAAACTCCTTTCTTTCAAGTTCCTAATGATCTCCCTGTTGACAAATCTAAGGGACAGTTTTCTTTTCTTTTCTTGGGAGGCTGGCCAGTAAGGGGATCCGAACCCTTATCCTTAGTGTTATTAGCACCGTGCTCTAACCAAGTCAGCTAACCAGCTGGCCCCAAGGGACAGTTTTCAGCCCTCATTTCATCAATCTCTTTGAAATTGAAACTCTCTTCCTATCCTTTTCAAGGACTTACCAGATTTGTCTTTTGATTCTCTGCCCTCAGTCTACCTGGCATGCTCCTCTCTCTCTCTGCCTAGTCCTTAAATGTTGGCATTCCCCAGAGCTACATATTTTTATTTTTCCTTTTTCATTTGATCATTTTTTTCATACTGTTTTCCAAGTGCAATTTCATTCAATCCCATGGTTTCAACTTCTACCTAATGTTGATGATGTCCAAGTCTATAATTTAGTCCAGACCTATTTCTTGAGGTACAAATACAATTTCTGGTGGATACCTCCTCCTACTTATACATGACTCAAAATCATGTCTAATTTGGACTCATCACCTTGTCCTCCAACTCCATTACAACTTACTCTTCCTCCTGTTTTCTTTTTTCTTTTTGGTGAAAAGAACCACCTATGGTCCAAACAGAAACCTGGGAAGAAGAGAGGTCAGCTCTGACTCTGAGTTGTATACTTCGTGGATATTGGCACCTTTTATTGAAATAGAGAACACTGGTCCATGATGAAAAGTTATCAAACCTTAAAATTTTTTAAAGTTTGCCAATTGCAAGGATAAGATGTTATATTATATTGATTTCCTATGGTGCTTTTTACATATAAAATATTCTCTAAGGAGCAATAAGTTCTCAAATGCCTTTGTAGGACAGAATAGTAAAATTCATGTTCCATAAGAAAACATGATCAGGGGGGCCGACCCTGTGGCTTACTCGGGAGAGTGAGGTGCTGGGAGCGCAGCAGCGCTCCCACCATGGGTTCGGATCCTATATAGGGATGGCCAGTGGGCTCATTGGCTGAGCACGGTGCGGACGACACCAAGCCAAGGGTTGTGATCCCCTTACCGGTCACAAAAAAGAAAAAAAAAAACATGATCAGGGGTTGTCAATTGCTAAGGACTACAGAGACAATATTTTGTAAACTAATGTAGAATCAGGTAGTACTAAGTACAGACTACTTCTAACCTCATATTATGGATTGAATTGTGTCCTCCCCAAAAGTTTAATGTGTTGGAGGCTTGGTCCCCACTGCGACAGTGTTAAGAGGGTGGGAAGTCCTATTACTGTAACTGAAAGGTGGGGCCTTGAAAAGGAGATTAGATTGTAGGACCATGCCATAGTGAATGGATTAATAATGGTGGTCAAGGGCATGATTTGGAGGCCTTTAAAAGGAGAGCACATGAGAGTCTCTCTCTTCCTCTGCTCCACCATTTTCTGCCATGTGAGACCCCTGCATTGCTGTAAAGCCACTACCAAAGAAAACCCTCACCTGATGTGATCCCTGGACTTTGGACTTCCCAGCCTCTGAAACTGTAAGCAATAAATTTCATTTTCTTATAAATTACCCAGTTCCAGGTATTTTGTTATAAGCAACAGAAAGACTAATATACCTCATTACTATCTTTTGGAAGTGAATACATATTTTTAAGTAGAATAAGCTAAATTCATTATAATTCCTATAGTTGACTATAAGTCTAGTTAATTTAGAGTAAGAAATACAAAAAGCAAATTGGGGTAGGAATTATGATCTCTGCAACCAGTGAATACTTTTTAATAGCCATAAGCTGATTCTCTCTCAGATTTTTACTTTATTACGCACTCTTTCCGTAAGTGTAATCCCTTGATGCTCTGCTAGTAAAAAACAAAACAAACAAACAAAAACTAATAAAAAATATTTAATAATCTATTAGGTCAGTATAAAGCTGAAATAGTATAAAATAAATATTTACATATTTAAAAAAGTGTGAGTGATGAGAATTATAGGTTCAGATAATATTATTTGGAAGCCATAAGAAGAAAGGGCTATTGTGAAAGAATGACTAAGAGGCAAACCATGGCTATTCAAACTTGGGTACTTGTTGATATTTTCTCAAAATGAATAAATTGTGCCTGTCACTTGAAAGAAAACAACTGACAGTGTTGACAGCCCAGTGGTTCTCAACTGTGAGCTGTTCTGACCCCCAGGTGACATCTGGCAATGTTTGGAGACATTTTTGGTTCTTACAACTGAGGTGTGGGGGATGCTACCTGGTAGAAGTCCGAGATGCTGGTAAACATCCTACAATGTACAAACAATACTCCATGACTATTATCTGGCCCAAAACAACAACAGTGTTGTGATTAAGAAATTCTGTGGAAACCAGTGATAAAAGTTAAGCTTTCAAGCAAAAATAAAATTTTGGAAAACTTGTGTCCGCTACCGTAAGCTTGACAGTTTCTCAATACTAAAGACTTTTCTGATGAGATCAGTGGTGATATTAATGAATGTGAATTTTTGATACTATATAATAAAATGAATGTGTCAACATTTGAAAGGTCCATATAACTCAGTGAACAATATGTTCCAAATGACCAATGCATGATATTTCAAAATTATGCTTGCTTAAAAGACTCATTCAAAGTGTAAAATATATTAACGGATTTTAATGTAGCAGAGTATAAAAAGTTCACTTCTAGGGTTTCATAGATTCCACACTGCAACTAACTAAGAAACTACCACTTGTCAAGTTCTAGTGTAGTATTACAGAAGAATAGCCACAATTTTCTGAAAAGGATACTAAAATCCTCCCTTTTCCAATTACATATCTGTGTGAAGCTGGATTTTCTTTATACACTTCAATCAAAAGTACATAATGAAAAGAAAACTGAATTCAGAAGCAGGTATGAAAATCCAGCTGTCTATATTAAACCAGATACTAAAAAGATTGGCAAAAATGTGAAATGATGCCACTCTTACTTTTTTTTAGAGGAGGAAATGGATATTTGCATTAAAATATTCAGCTCTTGAACAGAAATAAGACATTGTTTAAAATCACAAAAAATTATGTATATAACAAGATATCAACGATATACGTAGCCTTACTTTTGCTTCTTTATACTTTTGGGTTCTTTTCAAAATTTCCAAAATAAGCAAGTAGTACATTTATAATCAATATCAAATTTAAAAAGCACATTGTCCACTGCATTTCATAAGCAATTATCTTTATAAAAATCTTAAAAGTAAAACTAAATATTACCGTTTTAATATTTAGTTTAATAATCTTAAAACCAAATATTACCTTTTTGTCTCCTTGTTTTCGTCTCCTTAACCCTGGTCGATAATCATCTCCAAATCTCAGAAAGTAATAGTAAGAAACTAGCCTCTCAATAGGATCCCTTATGACATTAATGTAAATTGGCTTCTTCTTCACACCAAATCTGAAACAGAACAAAATTAAAAAGGTGAAACAACATTTTCATTCTGTTTAGGGGGTGTCCTGCATTTATATGTAGAAGTCTGAGTATTGATCCCTTATGAAAAAAGAACATGAATTAATTTAAATAAAATAAAACATGTGGAGATTGGGAAATATTTTGATTATTCATGTCATAACTAAGAAATAAGAATTTTAAAATTGTGGCTAAAGATAAAGGAAAAAAGGAGAAAATGAGTGAAAAATAATTTTAAACTTTACTGCCAAGAATTATATAAAACATTTTAATTCTATGCCTTCATAAGTCCAAGTAGACAATTCTTTCTCAAATACATACATATTATTTAAAAATGACTAAGAAAGAATTTAGCATTTATAATTTTTAAATGAACTTATAAAAAAGTGCTTTATTATATTCTATAATCAATCATCTGGTGCTACAAAAAGTTTCAAATCTGCATTAAATATATAGCAATAATTGCTCATTTCTGGCTCACCATTATCAATGGACACAACATTAGTCATCAGAAGTGTCACCATTTGAAACTACCGTCTACTGTTGCTGATTTTAAAGACAAGACAGAAGTTAAAGACATTAAGTTTTCAGGATTATTTCCTTAGGGAATGATAAGGAGTTGAGGAACACAGCAGACTTTTACTTCAGCAACCCTTGCAAACCCTAAAATTGTCTAACTGGCTCCCTGTTCTAATATCCTCTCCAGTCTCAGTCTTGAAGTGTTACCATTATCTTGACTCTTCCCTTTCCTTTATTCTTAAAAGTTACCAAGTCCCTTTTGTAAGCTTTCTCACAGATTTATCCTGCCTTTGTCCTTGTCTTTTCTTCACCATTGCCATAACCTAGTTGGTTTTCTTACATCCAGTTTCTCTCCCTTTAAATCTGCTTTCCATGCCAATTCTCAACTAATGTTCCTAAAACACCATTTCTCACATCACTCTTCTTAGGAATCTGAAAGAACTCTACTGATTAGTTGACCCCTTTGCCTGGTTGTCTTATGTTTGTTTGCCTTATGTCTTAGGTACCACCTTATTGAGCTAACTTTCTTCAACTCTTCTCAAATAAGAAACCATCTATCTGTTATACTAGGTCCACTTCTACCTCCTCCCATGTATCATACTTATTCCTTTTTCTCCTTAGATGACTTTGCTCATTCTGTTTTCCTTAACTAGAATGCCACTCTCATTTCTCTATTCTTTCTTTCTCCATATTAATTCATTCAAAAAATACTTTTTGTGTTTTCAATATGTCAGACACTATTGTAAATACAAGGCATATAGCAGTGAAAAAAAAAAAAGACAAAACTCCTTGTCCTTCTGGAGCTAACATTAAGCAAATATGTCAGATGGTAAGAAGTACTAAGGAGAAAAATGCAGTGCAAGGGAATAGGGAGTGCCAGGGGAAGTGGGAGACAGTACAAGTCATAACACAGTCATGCTACACAACAAAGTTTCAGTCAACAATGGACCACATACGTGACAGTGATCCCATAAGATTATAACAGAGCTGAGAAATTCCTATCTCCTAGCAATGTCATAGCCATTGTAACATCATAGCACACTTAATTTTTTATTAATTTAGTGTACCCTAAGTGTGTAGTGTTTACAAGCTCTACAGTAGTGTAATGTCCTAAGCCTTCACATGCACTCACAACTCACTGACTCATCCAGAACAATTCCCAGTCCTGCAAGCTCCATCCATGGTAAGTGCCCAATACAAGGTAAGTGCCCAATACAAGTGAACCATTTTATAACTTTTATATTGTATTTTGATTATACCTTTTCTATGTTTAGATACACAAACATTTACCATTTTGTTACAATTAACTACAGTATTCAGTACAGTAATATGCTGTACAGGTTTGTAGCGTAGGAGCCATAGGTTATACCACACAGCCTAGGTGTGTAGTAGGCTATACCATCTACATTTGTGTAATTACACTCTCTGATGTTTGCCTAATGGTGCATTTCTCAGAATGTATCTCCATCATTAAGTGACACATGACTGTAGTATTTCTCAGGAGGGCATCACTGGTGTTATGCAACAAGGAGGCAAGCCATTTAGGTATCTGAATGTCTTGGAAGCGTCTTGGAAAGTGTCTTGGAAGCACGAAGCCCTGAAGCAACTAAGTGCCAAGTGTTTTGAGGAACAGCAAGGAGATCAATGTAGCTGCAGAATCAGAGAGGGGATAGTAATAGAGGATGAGAGTAGAGAGGTGATGGGGGGGAGTAAGTGTAGATCGTTAAGGGCCTTGTATACCATTATAAGCATTAATTTTTATGGAGAGTCAGAAGGGAGGCTAGTGGAGGGTTTAAGCAGAAAAGTATCAGGATATGATTTATTTTAAAAGGCCATTGGCTGCTATTTTGGAATAAACAGAGGAGCAATAACGAATCTTGTAACCTCTCTTCCTGAGGACTCCAGCATACAGTGCCATCTGCTCTCATTTGATAGCTCTTGCACCCAGAAGCTATCGCTATCAGGCAATTTAACTCTTAGCTTGTTCTACTAGTGTTTCTTTTGTAAGTCTTTTCTCCCCAACAGTGTTGTAAGTCACTTGAAGCATAGTACCAATAATGCAGTAAAAATTTCTTTCACAATTTTCTAAGAGGAAAACAGTATTACTGCAAATATACGGCACTGTCACATTAGGTATTAGAGTAGAAGCTCCATAATGGCAGGGACTGTTTCTCTCTTGTTTATGGCTTTATCTCTAATGTTCAACACTGTGCCAAACACACAAGTGTTGAATATGAACAGAACTAGGTTGAACAAACTTTTGTGAATCAGCCACTTACAAAAGCCTGTCTATGGGAGAGTGCACTCAGTAGTGAGAAGAGAGGAGCAAGGCATCAGTAATGCATAGTTCTTACCTTAGGTGACAGAGTTGAGTGTCTTGTAACAGGAAGCTACAAGAAGGGGAGATTGCAGGACAACGGGATAATGACTCCATTCTTAAGGCTGTGGGATTCCCTGGGAATCCCCTCTATTGTATTATTAGTCACTGCCCTACCCTGAGCCATTCTCTTGGGAATTACCTCATCCCAGAAGAACATTTGCCTCCAATGCTTCCTCTTTTCCCCTTGTCTCTGACATGTGGAGCAGAGAGCAATTCTTACCAAGCAGCAGTGAAAAGGGGATATAACATGTTACAAAACTCTTCTTATTGTTCAGGAAATGGTTGTCTGTGGGTTGGCCTTGGGTGGCATTTTTATATATGAAGTATGATTTTAGTGAGATAATCTGTGAACTCATTCTGAAAATGGATAAGAACTATTACTTGTAAGTTAGGGATTGGTTATATAGATATGAAGGACTGAAGGCAAGGGGACTGTAAAAGAAAATAGGCATGATAAAAATAGCACCTGGGCCACTCAGCTCAGCTGGTTAGGAAATAAGAAAAAATAAAGTTTGTTGGTTTAACTCTTTTGTCAACCAGGTCATTTGTATAGGGGAAAAAATAAGCTCTGTGGTCACAGACTTCACCTTTAACCTGGCCAGTCATTTGAGCTGTTCCTCAGGAGGGCTCAGGTAGAAAAGCAGAAAACCCAGCTCTACTCAAGGAAAATAAACTATACTACATTGACTTGTTAGAACATGATCTTCCTGGAAAAAGAACGGCATATTTGCTAGGAATCTGTAGATGAGGATAAAGAAGGAAAAAATATAATCTGAGCAGCAGATCAGATCAGTAAGAAGATGTTTTAGGAACCTCATTCTTGCTATATCAGCATATGTGGTATGATAAAGCAAGGCTTTATCTAGCCTCATTTCTAGGCTTTATCTAGGCTCATTTCTTTACAACTACACTCTATAGACACCTTAGATAGAAAAGTGAACAATGAGAATGGTTAAAAGAACTAGTTCATACTCAGAACAGTTGTAAGGAACCTCTAAAAGGGAGATGATGAAGTTGAAAGAGGGCTGAATAGCCTTTGGGAAGCATTATGCTTTGAAATTTCTAGTTTAGACTAGATTTAACATCTCTACTTAAGCATCAGTCTCGCTGGGGACATTTGTGCCTTGTACATATTTATTCTGGAGTCTTTTAGCACTAAAGGTTCATCAAATGTTTCAAATCCTAGTAGCAAGTTCCAATTGTCTTGTTTCAAAAAAAGTAAATGATCTATTAGTATTTGTTGGTCCTACTGATGATAACGTGAATAAATGATTTTTAAAGTAATTTATTTCTTAAAAAGAGCTTTTGTCTACTATATATTTATTAGAATTGTTCAAATTTTAAAAAGTGTGTGTGTGTGTGGGGGGGGAATCTAACAATTCCAAATGCTGGTGAGGATGCACAGCAACTGGAACTGTTAAACACTGTTGGTGAGATTGCCAAATGATACAACTGTTTGGGAAAACAGTTTGGCAACTTCTTCACAGTTACCACAAAACCCAGTAATCCCACTTCTAGATTTTAACCTAAGAGAAATTAAGACATATGACCACAAAAAACCTGTAAGCAAATATTTTGGCAGCTTTATTCATAGTCATCAAAAGCTGGAAAAAACCTAAATATGCAGAAAATGGTGAGTAGACAGAAATTGTGTTACATCTATACAATGGAATACTACTCAGGAAGGAACGAACTCTTGATATAGGATGTCAAAAGCATTACATTGAGTGAAAGAAGATAGAGTCGAAAGACCTGGTGACCAATAAAATATAGGTGGTGAAGAAAACAGTTGTCCAAGATGACTATAAAGTTTCTTGCTTGGGTGTCATGACAGATAAAAATGGGCAAACTTTCTAGCAGGGAATAATGAAGACAAAGATGAGTCTTGTGCAATGTCTAATTAACAACTGGAAATAAGAAGGACCAGCAGAGTTTCTGTGGCCACCCCGAATGGGCCCAATCTCACCTGATCTTGAGAGGTGGACCAGCAGAGATTCAGAAAGGGAGAAGAAGAAAAAATCAGCTAGACAACATGGGAATTCAAAGAAGACAGGATTTTAAAAGAATTATAACAGAACTTGATATACATTATCATATGTAATCCTCACAAACACCTCATGAGATAGTAACTTTAGTTATCCTCATTTGACAAATGGGGAAACTGAAGCTCAAAGACCTGAAGTAATGTGGCTGAGATAGGAGAGCTGGTAATGAGCAGAGATGGATGTAACTGCTGATCTGACTTCACACACTGTCGGACTCCACAGACTGCTCCTTAACAGTCTACAGAATCAGTGCGATAGAAAGAGCTGGGAGTACAAGGTCAATGAAAAGGCAACTCCCACATATTGTCTGTAATGATTAAAATAATTTTAAAAAATTTCTACAGTGTTGTTATATACTTGTTCAAAGTTTTAAAAAATGGTGCAAACTTCAGTTGGTTCAGCAAAGAAGTACAAGGTAAAAAAGACAATCTCACATCAATCTATATACTAACAAACTATTTAGATGTAAAATATTGTCACATTATTGCCCTCTGAGATATTTCAGACCTGGTGAAGGATTAAGTTATTTGTTTCTTGTCCTAACATTACTGCTTCTTTACTTATTCACCTTATTTATTCTGAAAATGACAACAGAGATAATATGAAGAAACTAAAATGACAGCACTTAAAACTTATTCTTCATTTCTAGGGACAACCACAAAGGTACATACCTGATGTATGCCTGAATAAAACTGTCTGTTGTATCAAAATTAACTTTCAAATATCTTTCTAAGAGGGATGCTGACATGTGACCTTGACGTACCTACATCATAAAAAAAATCAGCAGATTTGATCAAAAGTACAACATTAAAACAGTTTTCTTTTATGTTTTGCTTTTTAAAAAATTTTTTGCCTGCTGGCCGGTACATGGATCAAACCCTGGACTCTGGTGTTATCAGCACCACACTCTAACCAACTGAGCCAACCCCTAAAACAGTTTTCTTTTAGCTGATCATTATTCATTATGAAGCGAAATGTTTATTCCTGAAAAAGCATTTTTGAAAGAGATGTTCTACTGTTTTTCTTTTCTAAAGTTTGAAGAAAATCAAAGTGGGGTAATAGATGCTACTGACAAATGAATAGTATGAATTTAAAAGGGAGGGTAATCTGTAATATTTTCACTGTTCATAACAAAACATAATGAACTAATAATTATAGGAAAAATGGGGTTTTAGTGAATTCATTAAAGTCAAGAACTGCAACTTACTCAACTTTGTATTTCCTGCACAACAGATCATTTTGAAAATGTCCAACCTGGGCCGGCCTGTTGGCGCACTGGAGAGTGCGCCGCTTGGGAGCGCAGCGGCGCTCCTGCCGAGGGTTCAGATCCCATGTGGAGACCGGTTCCCACTCACTGGCTGAGCGTGGTGCGGGCGCAACACTGAGGGTTGGGATCCCGTTGCCGGTCCCCGGTACGGGCGCGACACCGAGGGTTGTGATCCCATTACCGGTCAGTAAAAAAGACAAAAAGGAAAAAAAAAAAAAAAGAAAATGTCCAACCTATACAATTAAACTGGAAAATTTATAAATTTATGACACTAATTTATCATATCTACATTTTTCTAAAATTGTGTGGTCCACCAGTTAAAAAGAAAACAAATCAGTAAAAGAACATTAACAGGAAAAATGGAAAGGAACAAGAACTAGAAAATATGCTAAAACATCAAAGAATAGGATTATAACACAAAGTAGCAAGATAGAATAGGAATGCAAAAATGTAAAAAGGAATTATTTTTGTTATTCTAAAGTTCTCAAAAAACAAATAAACACAACCAAAATACGACTTAATCACATACAGGCTTGCAAATATGAGGGTACTATAAAAAGTTCATGTAAAAACAGAATTAAAAGATAACGCTCCCCATATAGGCCAGCCACCCCCCACCAATCCCGCCCAAAAAAGATAATGCAAATCTTTCCATGAACTTTTTGAAATATCCTTGTAATATGTGCTGCTTAGTAATCAGTCTAAACTAGAAAAAACTTTACATTTTTTTATTTCCCTATCTTATTTCCTGAGTTTCCTAGGGCTCACACTCTTTTTAATGTCTCTGCTAAGGCAAATGAAAAATTATGTGATTAAGTATTTCTTTCACCAAATTCACCATTAAATTACTTCTCCTGAGGGCAAGTTATTTAATGGACTCCACAAAGTACTATGCCAGTCAAGAATATGTTTTGAAGAATAAAGTATTTTAAAAATTGGTAAGGTGACGTTTCTTTCCTCTTCCTTACTCATTCATGGAGTATATGGCTATCAAGCTAAAAGATATTTTAAAAGATCCTAGTACATACATCAAAATATATTTCTGCTAGTTGATTTTGTTTAGGTATTTGTTTAAAATCTTGTAAAAGTCTATTAAAAATTTTCACAATACCTTTCACTTTCAATAACATGAGACCCACTATGAAAATATTCAAACCCTTAAATGTTTATGCCAGTATTTAATAAGATTAATATTTTCAAAAAGCTTTATACTTTTCAACTGCAAAAACTCCAGCATACACCAGAGCTTTGTTCTAAGTACAAGCCTTTGCCAAAAGTAAAAGCACTCAATATATAATTTTAGTAATGAAAACTTAAAGTATTAGAAACCAAGTTGTATGTGGAAAAAAATAAGTCATTTAGGTGAAAAGGTAACAAACATTCAATTCAAGGAAAATGCAGCCCTGAGGGAAAATATGCATATGAATGAAGTTTATGAAATTGGTTCAATGCCTCTGCAAAGAAAAAATAATTAGTTTTTTTAAAGCTGCCTTTAAAGTGATTTCAATATTGCAATATGAATTATTTATAGAAAAATGTACATCTAACTTTAAAGCTACCATTTTATTGAAAGATACTGAGTACTACGGGAGAAACCAGAAATGGGAATATATCATTTTATATGTGTAATATTTCAGTGATTCCTTTTTAATTACATGGATTTCTAAAAAAGTTAAGATTTATTATCAATCTGAATCAGTAATATTTCATTCTACTCTTTTTCTTTACAAATTTTATAAGTTAAATTGAGAGTGGAATATCATTTTCATTTTAAATTTTACATTAGATACCTTTTAAAGTTGACAAATACATGAAGATGTATTACACTCTTAAGGCATGACTACTAATTCAAAACTGAGTGACCATGTCTAAGCTTAAATAATAGAAATATATATATTTTTAGTGTTTTTTAAGTCAATGTAGAGTCTCATTAAGGAAAACATTTATTTTTTGGCGGCTGGTCAGTACAGGGATCAAACCCTGCACTTTGGTGTTATCAGCACCATGTTCTAATAAACTGAGCTCATTAGGACAGCCCTCATTAGGGAAAACATTTAGATTTGAGGTGTTACTGTAATGGTACTATGTGTACTACAAAAAAATGTTCAAATGGAACTCAAGATATATATTTAGAATATTCCTTTTGCTCAATTTTCTGATCAATACTTAATGTAGCACAGACTCTGGAGCCACATAGTGATTGAATACTGTAAATAGGCCCGTAGTTTTCTGAACTTTTCTTGAAAATTATGACAGAAATACCCTGATCCCACTCTTTTCCAAAAATACGGGATATGAGACTTATTTATCTCCAATTACAGGCAAATTCAAACATAAAAGAAAATTACTAATTAGTTTAGAAGTCTCTTCTTAATACATCATAATTTTAAAGCTAAAACAGGTAGCACAAGGGAAAGTGTATGCTTTACTGTGTCTTGGCTGAGAAGCAGATACATTAAGGTATCAATAACTGAGTGAGGGCTTCTTTGCTTTCTCAGTTCTCACTTGATGTGGTGAGTCATAATCTGATTAGCCTGTAGGTTAAAAATTGAGCTCTCCTGAAATAGTTTCATTCTGGTTGTACAAGAAACATATACATAATAATGATAAATAACTTTAGATAAATAAAGAGTATTAACTAAATTTAACTTTGCCCTTAATTCTCATAATTAATATGAGAACTGCCAATTTATGAACACTAGAGGGCAGTAAAACACTAGATGGTATATTTAAATTACAGATCTAAAAGTAGCAAAGGCAAGTCAGTATATTCTTTTTTGGAAAATCAAAATCATAACAATTTAATGAATTTATTCCTCTTTAGGTTGCTAAAGTGCAAAGCACTCTTTATAAGTCATTTTAGGTGTAACTTACTTTGTAAAATCCAAATAAGAAATGTGTCCATGATAAAACCCTGGTTTCATCTCTTTCCAGGAAGTTATATTCTTTACAAAGCGTACCTAAAAAGGGAGAACACATTCATTACTAAAGTACAATTTAAAGAAAATTAAATTGGATGATAGCAAAATACTTTCCATTCAGGAATTTAAAACCAATCATGCCATTTTGACTATCACAGAGCCTGAAACACAGATTTGGACTAAGGAAAGTGTTGAGTGTAATCTGTAACTACTAATTCAACTGCACTCAGAAAAGAGCGAAAGATGATTGTGAAAATAAAATCACACAATGCAATAATAACAATGCTGTACGGTGAATACATTTACACGGGGTAGGAGAGTGTGTGTGGGAGTGTGTAACCACATCCTACCATCACACATGCTAAAGCAGGAATAGTGTAGTACAGGGACATTCTATGCATGTTAAATGTTTTCTTCTCAAAGGTTTGTTATTTATAAAAATTAATTTTTATTAATGACTCAACAAATAAAATTAAAACTAATCCTTAAACCAAAATGACTAAAGAAAAGATGACTATTATCAGAATATTTTAAGGGATATCATAAGCAGATATCATAAGCTTGTTGATAAAATTAGAGACATGATATAGGTCAAATAAAAAATTAATATCTAAATGTCATTTAGTTTATTGGAATTAAAAGTATACAAAAAGTTAGTTAATATGAAAAATCCTGTAAGTATAAACATATTAAATTTTTTTAAAGAACTGGTTAATACAGAACTTGATAAACTTACGTATCACCAGCTGCAAAGCAGTGATGCACATTTTCTCAAAGGAAAATGGAATAGATTTTTGATAAGCAAATCTTGGTATGATAAATAAAAGTGGTTAAGAATCTCTTCTGGAGACTAGATATACAGTGCAGGGAGTGGGAGTGGGGGCGGTAAGGCCCACCACTCTAAACCGCACTGAAAGCATCTGTAAACTGTGACCTCAGCCTCTAAAGCACAAGACTGTCAATTGCATAATTCTGATAGTTTAACAATCTTTCATTCACATTTTAAAATAGAATCAGTCACATGGAGATATTCTGGAGTACATCACACTGGATTAGAGTAAATAAGTTTAACAACAATAAATGCTGATGGCTTCCTTCTAAATAAGGCCTATTGGTAGGGTTGGGATGGGAAACAGTGCAGATGCAGCCATATGTCAGAGAATGGGAATAGGTAAAAATGAAATGTTCTCGGAGAAATTTTTTAAGGGAAGCATTAATAACTCATATACTAAGAGAAATAATGGAGCTTTTTGTACGGAAATGAAATAAGCCTTACTTAATACCCTCTCCATAAGCATACATACCCTTAAAATAAAATCTGGAAATTGAATGCAGATAAAATTAGGTTGCGTTAGAAAATATACAATTTCATTTTAGCAGATATTTTCAATTTTTCCACCACCAAACCAAGAGCCAAATAAATGTGATTTGATGTTCTCATATTTTTTCCTTTTTGTTCTTCAACTAAGGCAGGAAATAGAAGTAAATAATAAATGGCAAATTAAAAAGATACAGAAAATATAAGATAATCTAAAACCTGAATCCTTAAAAAAACTTTACATATTGAATATGAAAGTCCTTACAACTGCCAGTAAGTGGTAAATTATTTCATATAAACCTTTGGTTCTGTGAAAATCTATTCCAGTATTTCAGCAAAAAATGAGAGGTAAATAGAAGACAAGGAGAATAAGGAATTGCAGGTGGTGGTTGAAGGGAGCTTAAGACATATTTAGCAACTCAGCTCTATTTTCCAGAAGCTGAGATTTAATATGAACATAGTGGTGTATAGGATGGAAATGAAAGGAAATGCTAAATGAAGTCTGAGAAAATGGTGTTATACAAGGGTACTTCAAAAAGTTCATGGAAAGATAGAATTAAAAGATAATGTGAATCCTTCCATGAACTTTTTGAAGGACCCTCATATAAGCCAAATGTTAGGGAGGATCATAGTACAAACTTTGGAGTATACTGTGGTGAAATACTCTGGTGGAAATGAGTCAGGTACAAACTTCAAGTATTCTTTTTCCTCCAGCCTTCCTGAGGGTGGTCGATATTCAACTAACTCCTCCTGAGGATGAATGACACTTCATCCCATGTGTGTCCTTCAATGTGAGATGAGGAGCCCAGGAATATGGATGATACCTGGACTACTGCAAAGCTTCTCAAATTTTAATGTGCAATTGAATAACCTGGGACTCTTGTCAAAACGCAGATTCTGAATCAGTGGGTCTGGAGTAGGGACCGAGATTCTGCACTTCTAACAAGTCCCCAGGTGATGGCCATGCTGCTGGTCCATGGGCCACACTGAGGAGCAAGGCTTCAGCATGTGTGGGCCCGAGAGCTACTTCTTGATTTTATTAACGTGAGGCTTGTTTTTATAGTGCTTGCAAAGGAGGCCTGAGGTCTACAGGAGCTCTCTAGCAAGGATACTCTCGTACTCACTGTTTCAGTAGAAGTATACTGAAATAAAGCAGATTTTTTTTATAATCTTCTAAGTTACCACAACAAATAAAACAGAAAGGGGAACAGGTGCAGGGTGAACCCTGACAACTCAGTCTCCTGTTCCTAACCCTGTACCCAACCCCCCATGATGCCTGAAGTACACTGGAACCAAGCATTACAAGAAACATATTTTAAAAACTAATACAGTAAGAAAAAGGTATGTGCTTCCAGTTGGACTCAGGGAAGATTTGGGTGAAGGCAGAGAACAGAACAAGGCATGAATCTTCCACTGCTGACCCCAATCTCAAACTCTTTAGTTTACAGAATCAGAATTTTAGAGGTGGAAGTGACCTAGGATATCCTGTACTCTTTATTTTATAGATAAACTGAAGTCCAAGAGCCACATACCTTAGATTTTGGTTCGATCATCCCTTCTAAGTCAGTAGTTAACTTCCTTAATTTATAATTCATTAAAATATTATTGTCCAACTTAAACAAGGGAAGAAAAACCCAGAAGGATTTGAAAGGAAATGAGAATAGGTATCATTCACACCATAATTCTGTAAATCAACAAATTTGGACATTGCAAATTTCAGGTTTTGTCCACTACTAAGGTAATCCCTCAGATCCAGTCATCAAAACTCCTCCACCTCTAAGATCGCAAAGCTCTGTTGATATAACTCCTATGTCAATTGTTTATTTCCTCATAAATTTACTCATTACCTTCATCATAATCTCAAACTTCCAATCCACCCTGATCATTAGTCTCTTACTGGACAACCTTTCAACAATGACTCTTGACTTATTCCTTTGTCTTTCTACTGCCTTGGTGATTCCTGGGGTTTCTTAGCACTGCCTGTGAAAACCAAGAGACTCAGTCTAAATATTTATGTAGGACTTGGAAGTTTATTTCCTAAATTCATGCTATTGGAGATAAAGTCAGGCGGATTATTGTTGCTTTTAAATCCTCTAGACTCTTACTGCTAAAGTAGCCAAAACTCATAAAATCTCTCTCTAATCTCCAACTAAAAGAATACCAGAGCCTACATACTTAATATATATGTATATGTACCCCTTCTTTCATCTCAGCATTTAACTAAGGCAATATATTAAAGTCTCATTAATAAATCTGTGGCTGATTTACAATTTGTTGAACTGAAGTTTACCTTCCCTTTATGGAGAAAAAAAGTGCTATGGTTAAAGTGGTGGTTTACACTAATCTGGGAACTAGTCTGAGCATTTAGAAGTGTCATTTACATACTACTGAAATTCCATATCATTTTTCTCTCTTCTTCAAAGCTGTTCTCTAAGGAAATAGTATAAGTAACCTCCTTTGAAAAACAGTATTCTTAAAATTTTCTTTTTAAGGAATTAATTTACCCACTTCTGCTTTTAGCCATGTTTAATATTTATCCGCTTAGTTCTCCAAAATTTTCCGTTTCTACTCTTTCACCTCCATTTTTTCCCTTTCATCAGTCAGTTTCCAGTTCCCACTCTATCATTCTTTGCCCTCTCACCTCCCTTGCACCACTTACTTTGTCTTTCAGTTTGTTTTCTACTGTTGTTCCTCCAAACTGAGGCATTATGCCCAAGACCTTGAATATGGAAGGCTAATTCCATGCCCAAGGCTATGGAATACAGAGGAATATGAAGAAGAAATGGAGATTAGGTGAGTAAGCTTCTACTCAGTTCATTTTAAAGATTCTTACTGACTACACTTGGCACTAAGGAAAAGTAAAGTGATAGGCTAAATAAATAAATAAAAGCAAAACTTAATATAGTATCAAATGACGTTAAGGAGACTGAAGACTGAAAACTGTTTTGGGGAGAAGAAATAAAGCCACGATGGTGAGTTTATTAGAAAAAATTTTTCATACAATGATTGAAATATGCTATCAAGAAGAATGTTTCTGGGCCGGCCCGGTGGCGCACTGCTACAGTGCGCCACTTGGGAGCGTGGCGGCGCTCCCGACGAGGGTTCAGATCCCACATACAGACTGGTTCTCGCTCACTGGCTGAGCGAGGTGTGGGTGCAACACCGAGGGTTGCGATCCCGTTGCCGGTCCGGTCCGGTACGGGCGTGACACTGAGGGTTGCGATCCATTGCTGGACAAAAAAAAAAAAAAAAAAAGGAAAAAAGAAAAAAAAAAAAAAAAAAAAAAAAAAGGTTCAGGGGGGGGAATGATATAGGAAAAAAAAAAATGGTTTTATG